TCCCGACAAACACATTAGAGACCCACCTCCACCCTGCTAATAATGAGAGCGGGCCACTGCTGGATGGTAAGCAGAACCATCTATCCTTCCTTCCAAACCCCATGAGCAAGATGAATCCCTTCGCAATTTTGCTGGCGGCCGCCCTCATTCTCTGCACTACCAACTTCCTTCTGCGATGCTCTGGCTACCACCCACTTAATAGCTTCGACCGCATCTGCAGGCGGCGGCGGGGTAGCTATGCTGGCATGGCCGCACCAACAACAACGATGAGTTGCTGATGGAGTCAGGGAGCAGTAGCCTGTCGCTGAGGATGTTGCAGGTGGGAAGCCGGGAGGTGTGTAACTCCATCACCCGTGACCAGCCGGCTTGCAATCGTAAGTGGATTTGTGGAAAAGTAAAGGCAATATTATTCCCAAAATACTGTATATCCAAAAATATTTCTTGTTTTGAAAATTCATTCCTAGTAAAAGTTGTAGTCTTTAAAGTTATGCACAATAACTTTTTTTTCTTGACGTTTGGATTGCGGAGCACATAGTTATGGTCTTCCAAAGTTAGGTGAAATGGAAAAATTGATTGTTCACGATAATAAACGCGTTTTTTCTGGATGAATACAAGACCAAACAGCCTTTGTCTTGCACGATCTTGAAAAATAATGCGGAATAAAAAAAAAATTAATCGGTTAGCCGAGCGCAAAGATACGTTTGTTTAAAGTTTCTGCCTTCTGTAAGGCATTCACCGCGGCCGTCGACCGCGGTGATGTATTCACCGTGTCCATCAACTGCGGTATTGCCCAAACATGTGTAGATTGAGATTATCTATTTATAACGTGTGTCATTTGAGAATTTTTCCGATATTCGTGGTATACCTTATTGACGAGACTATTCCACGGGAGAGCTCAACTCTCCGGCTGATATCTTATTATGAATTCTTTAGTTATGGTCGAAGGCCTTATACTTGCTTTTATACCCTTACAACAATTCTCATCTAGGGCAAAGAAACTAGGGCATGTAAACAAGACACAAACATGCACAGTAGTGGCAGCAGGTCGGCCTTGAGTGGGCTGGGCCGGGGTGATGTATCGGGCCCAATACTCCCCTGCAAGCTGGAGCGCGGATATCACGAACGTGCAACTTAGAAAAGCGGAAGTGAAAACGTTCAACATCATGACCTTTCGTGAATATGTTTGCGAGTTAATGATGGGAGCGGACCTTCAAGGGCACAATGTCACCATACTGGACATGATCACGTACCAAGTAGCATTTCATTTCTACGTGCTTGGTGCGCTCATGAAACATCGGGTTGACAGCTGGATTGAGTAACCCCCAAATCTTGAAGAAACCAACGTAACCAAATCACATCACTAACCGTACTCGCCACAGCTCAATACCCAGCTTCAACAGATGAGCGAGCGACCATATGTTGTTTCTTGGTACGCCACGAGATAGGCGCTTCCCCAAGAGTGATAACATAACCCGTGGAACGATGGATGGATTGAAAACCACCCCAATCAGCAAAAAGTACGCGACTAAATTAAGAGAGGTACCAGAAGGAAAGAACAATCGCCGACCAGGTACACCCTTCAAGTAGTGCAGGATGCAATTTCCAGCGTCCATGTTAGCTTGGGTAGGCGAGTGAATGAATTGACTGAGAATATAAACAGCATAAGTGATATATGGATGAGTAAAAGTTAGGTATATATAAGAGCCGACCTACCAAACGACGGTATGCAGCGGGGTCAGGATGATCAAAGGGAGTAGGCCGAGTAAGATGGTGATTCTGCTCAACTGGAAAAGTGCTGGGACGACTTCCCAAAACCCATGAATCACTCAAATGTATAGTAGATACTTGCATTGGCTAAGAACACTATAAAAAAACAGGGCCTTTTGCAATGAAATTGTTGCGACGGAACATAAACTCGTCGCCAAAACACAGGTTTCTGCGACGGTTTTTAATGTTTCGTCGCTGAAAACCATCAGCTTTGTTGGGAGGTGATGTTCCAAATGTCTATTTACCAATTGACAACCTTTCAATGCTTTTATGCTTTTGTTGTTGATTGGTTTATTGATTGCTTTTAATGTTGTCCTGCTGTGCTATCAAATATTAGTATTGTTGACATAGAGGAGGAGTACTTGTTTCAGTCCTGGTTATAGTGCAGCTGTTTGGTTATGACTCCATGGATTCATAACCGGCAGAATTACGTTATTCGTATGTTTTCTCTATAACTTCTTGTTTCTCATTCTGTGTGCCTCTGGTAGGATCTTAGGGAGGAAACTAAGACCATAAGAGGGGGGGGGGGGGGAATCAAGGTGCAATTCAGCTACTACCGGGTCCTGCTACTACAAGTACAAATCACACCCCACAGTACTTGTACAAGGTACCAACGAGCTGCTGGTCATGTGAAGAGGCAAATGGTCTTAGAATGAGAGAAAGTAACTAAACTACTATAGTAATTAGTAGGAAGGAAGGAAATGAGACTCATATTCATATATATATATATATATATGAACCTGGAAATGAATATTTTGAATAGGCAGTAGTGGTGAGTGAGAGTTAAAAAGAAAGGAAGATAACTTTCATTTTACTTTATTTAATTTATCTCCTCTTCTTTTGAGTATCCAAGATAGCTTAATATATTGATTATCCAATCAGTCCCACTCCTACCCCATAAGCACTTTCTAGTCCCATATTGGTTGGTGGGAAAACAAATTTAATAATTAATTATCTTTTTCGTTCTTGAAGAAGATGAGACTTATATGTGCGTTTCTGATATATGCATGTACAAAGAGGAAATCATTCAGGTTTTGTGCAGCTATTTTAATTAATTATTAAATAATATAAAACACTAAGCTAATAACTGCAACATTGTTGAAAGGTTGAAAAAGGGATTGGGTGTAAAGAACCTAGTTGATCAAAAGGGACATCAAGACTACTCTAGAAGACATCTGATTGTTGTTTACAGGTTTTTCCCTTTACCCTTCTATTAATTTATTGTGACACTCGTTAGATCGTTGAAATTTAATAAGATTGCTGCATTAGGATGGATAAATCTTGGATGATAAAGAAGAAATTTAGGATAGATTACATTGAAGTAGTTAAATCTTTCATTACTTTTGTTGAAGAGCATCTCAGGCGAGACAATGATATCCTTTGTCCATGCAAACGTTGTTTCAACGTTTACAAGGAACCTCTTCAAGAAGTTTTTGCTCATTTGATGATTAATGGGATAGATATTGGATATACCACTTGGGTCTACCATGGGGAAACCTCTGATTCTCATATAAATGAAATTAGTGATGAAGGGGACTACTCAATTAATGATGATGATGTGAATGATCAGCTTTTTGACTTGTTAGATGAGCATCAAAATTTCATTCATCATGAATTCGTCAATGGAGGTGACTTTTCTAATAAGGGTTATGAAGAATATATCAAAATGATAGATGCAACTCATGAGGACTTATATCCCGATTCAAAGTACTCAAAATTCTCATTCATAGTGAAGCTGCTTCACTTGAAAGTGTACAACAAATGGAACAATAAGTCATTCAACATGCTGTTGAAGCTCTTAAAAGATGTTTTACCTGAAGACAACTTAGTTCCCAACTCATATTATGAGGCCAAGAGTATTTCGCGTAGCTTGGGTTTGGCTTATGTTCCAATCCATGCATGTCGATACGATTGTGCCTTATTTTGGAGGGAAAATGAGTTTCTTCAAACTTGTCCGGTCTGCGAAACATCTCGGTGGAAAATAGATGATGGAAAAGGAAGGAAAATTCCATGGAAGATATTGCGGTACTTTCCGTTGAAACCAAGACTTCGTAGGCTATTTATGTCATCTAAGACGGCATCTGAGATGAGGTGGCATAAAGAGAAACGTAATGACCATGATGGTTGGTTAAGACATCCTGCTGACTCAACATAGTGGAAGAACTTTGATCTCCAATTTCCCTCATTTGCCGATGATGCTCGTAATGTTAGACTTGGTCTTGCTAGTGACGGCTTCAATCCTTTTGGAAATATGAGCAACTCATATAGTATGTGCCCGGTCGTTTTGACCCCATATAATTTGCCTCCTTGAATGTGCATGAAGGAACCTTATATATTTTTGACTTTGTTGGTTCCCGGCCCTTCTGCACCAGGAAAAGATATGGATATCTACATGGAACCATTGATTGATGAGTTGAAAGAATTGTGGTTGGATGGAATACAAACATAGGATGCTCATTCCAAAAGTGATTTTCAATTCCGTGCTGCAATATTGTGGACTATTAATGATTTTCCTGCATACGGTAATTTGTCGGGATGGAGTACCAAGGGATATCTTGCATGTCCAGTTTGTAACAAAGATTCATTTGGGCAAAAATTGAACAGCAAGATAGGATATTTTGGTCATCGTCGATTTTTGCTGATACAACATAGGTGGAGAAAGAGTAAGAAGTTCAATGGAAAGCGTGAAATGCAGCCTCCTCCTTCATTGATATCAGGTGATGGTGTGATGGAACATATGAGCCTTTTGATCGAGAGACTTCCTGGGAAACATCCAAAAATTGTCAATAAGAGGAAACGACCTTCTAAAGACTTGAATTGGGTGAAAAAGAGTATTTTTTTTTACTCTTCCTTATTGGAGAAAGTTAAATGTGAGGCATAATTTGGATGTCATGCATATTGAGAAAAACATTTGTGATAATGTGGTTGGGACTTTGATGAATGTATCTGGTAAAACAAAAGATACTATCAAGGCTAGATAAGATTTGGCAGATATGAAGATAAGAAAGGAGTTGCACCTTACAAAGAGAAGTGATGGAAAATATGAGATGCCGATAGCATGTTATTGGAGAACCTCCTTTCAACTTCAAATAAATAATCAATTAACTAACTTCTTATTCATGTGTAGATGACAAGGGAATTATTTTTTAATAAGGATGAATGTACGTTGGCATTGCACTCACTCTCTTGTCGTCCACTACCTAGTGTTACTAGCTATTCAGGTTGTGTCATAAATGGGGTTAGATTTCATACAAGATCTCGAGAAAGTCGTCGCAAAACACAGAACAGTGGCATTGTTGTGGAAGGGAACCATCTTAATGACGTCATTGACTTCTATGGTGTCCTCGTGGATATTATTCGGTTGTATTATGTTAGAGACAAAAAATATTCTTCTATACAAGTGTGAGTGGTTTGATGTCGATAAAGGAAAGTCAAGGATACTGCAAGAGGGTGCCATTACAAGTGTTAGGGTAGATCGTGCTTGGTATTCAACTGACCCTTATGTTCTTGCTAGTCAAGCTACTCAAGTATATTACGTCAGTGATCCGAAGTTGGGCTCAAATTGGCGAGTTGTTCAACGATTTAACCATCGCCATATATTCAGTGGAGAAATTGAGACCTCCAATATTTTGGATGATTTTGATATGGTAGATGATGATGAGGCCTATCAAGATGACGAGTTAACAAATGTCCCTTCTACAGTTGTGGATGTCTATGGTGATGGTGAAATTCCATTACATAGAGAAGGTGTTGTTGCTGAAGTGATTGACCTTGTGGTTGTAGAAGGGAAGTACAAGAACTAAATCGCAATAAGGCATTGAAGAATATCACGAATCTGAACATTCAAGTGAAGATGAAGCTTAGTAGAATGCTATGCTAGATTCTGTATCATTTAACTCTGAAGATGAAGCCTAAAAATATATTTTGCATTCTTGAAGTTAACGACTACTATTGTGCTTGCATTGGAATGTTTTACATTGACTATTATTGAGAACTTCTATTTTCTGTAACTTGACAATTTTTTCAGGATGTCTATTATTAAGCACTTTTGTTCCTACTTTAATTCTGGTTTATCCAAGTATACTCCAATAATATATCTTTTGTTTCAGGAGTTCCAATGGCACCTTTTTTGTCACACACAAAGATAGGTCCATCTACTTTTTTAGGCGAAGTTTCCATGCCTAAGCGAAGCTCTATACTAAATGCTCCCGTAGTACAACAAAAGTCAACAGCTTCATCAAGTTCAATTCAAGGTGAGTCAACAAAATTCCCAAGGCACACATGTAGAAAATTTTCAGTTTTGAAATGGCTGGATGAGTTAATCTTAATGTTGTATGACATGATCATAATTGGTAGAATGTTTAACTAGTTTATTAATTACACCATGAGTAATTTATGGGTGAATGGGAGAACTTGCAGCTCGAGTGCGTTATGAAAGTGGTTAGTGGGTTGAATTTTGTGATTAATTAATATTTGAATAAAATATGATGCAAGGCCCTGATGTTTGTGTGTGAACCGGTGAGGAAAGTGACTTATTATGTTAATACATATACAGTAACCAGCCAAACATTGTTGCTTCAAATCCATCATATATATATATATAATGGATTTGGGTGTATATAGTAATACAAATTGAGATGCAACAACGGTGATTTTGTACTGATCTGTCCCTTGAGAGAATGTATGACTGTTTCTTATACAGTCAATGGACCAAAGGCGATACGGGGTACTTTCCACAACAATGGAAAACAAACAACTCGAATGCAAGCATTCTTACAAGCTCGTATTGATATGGAAGATGAATTAGGAGCTCGAAGTGAAGAGGCGCCACTTAAAAGATCAAAACAGTCAAGTGAAGGTAATGAGTCTGATACAAAGTTTTAAACTTATATTGTATGTCGTTTACGACTTATATTAGATGTCTTTTTCTTATTGTTTTACATTACAGCCACTCCTGCCCATGAGCCTAGATCAAAAATATCTAAACAGCCTTCACCAAGTTCTCCTACTCTTAATCAATCAACAAATACAAGTTCCAATGCTTCTAATCCTTCTGAGGCAGCACTTGAAGAAGATATCGAGCATGAAATGGGTACAAGTAAGATATTCTTATTGAGTGGAAGAAACTATACTTTACCGTATGCATTTTCTTAACTTTTTTTCATTTTTTTCGAGGTGAAGGCGAACAGACTACTACACAAAAGAAGCATAAGGGTAGAGGCCCCTCACGTGGTGTTGACCTGAACAAGATAATTGAAAGGACTGGAAAGAAGTTTGAAGTCACAATCGATCCATTGTATGGTCGGCCATTACAGAGAAAGGCATCTAGTGCTCTGTGCAGTACACTTGGACAAATTGCTCATTTGTTTGTCTGGACAATTCACAAGGACAAGAATGTCGTGCTAGAAGAATTCATATTGATGTTGGAGGTATTTGATATAGTTACATATTTGGAACAATGCCTATTTCCTTACTACCTAGTTTGATATGTTTGTTTATATGATGCAAGGTCAAGCTGGATTTGGGTGACATAAGAGAGAATCCGGTGGAGCTGAACAAGCTTTGGGATATGTTTCAAACCCAAGTCAAGAGAAGAAGGACCAGGGTATAAGAAGAGTTCTATACAGATGTTGAAAGGCCTAGACAGAATAAGCCTACTTTTTTAAATTAAAAAACATGGGATGATCTTTGTGATTATTGGAACCGTGAAAAGGTTAAGGTATGTAAAGCAATTCAGTACAATATTTCAGATGATATGAACATATCTGTTTGGTTATATATGGGTGGATCTCTTTGAGATTCTAGTTAATTCATGAACTTTCAAACAAGTGTCACTTAATGTAGGTTCTAAAAACTGTGATTTGCTGAACTTTGCATATATAATGGTTAGTTGAATTGTTTTCGTTAACTTCCTTCTAAAGTTGACAACACATGTCTTGGATTATGTTGGGACCACCTAATTAGAAATTAATCATGCATGCTCAGAACTGTGTCCTTCATAGGATATATGAACATATCTATTTTTTAACCGATAGAGAAGGGTGGGTTTTTTGGAACCCCATGTGACTTGTCATTTCCATACGTGTGTGTAGAAGTACTCTTTTGTTTTTACTGTTTTTGTTAGTTTATATTGCACATTCTGGTCGGGAACTTGGTTAGGATACACAGGGTGGTGTGTATGCGGTGTAGTAAATCTGGCATCTAGCTATAATAGTTTAAGATTGTACATTCTGATTACAAACTAGTCATTTTTTATGAACAGGAAATTGCTGAGAAGAATGCTCTCAACCGAAGCCAAGTGAAGAGTCTAAACACTCAAGGAAATGTGGCCTATGTTTGCTTATTCGAAGAGCAGGTTTGGGAACTTACTGTTCCAACGTTAGTAGTTGTGTTATGACAACTACTAATATATGGTTTTGTTTTCTTGGATCATCTCTATTTCAACTAGAAATCAAAAGCAGACAATGGTGAATTGTCCAAAATGGCATTCTACAGGTGGCAGTGGATTGGCAAAAATGGAGAATGGAAAAGCCAACATAGGAAATAAATATATGTACGTTTTCCCATTTAATTTCCTTCTTAAAATTTACATTTCCTCATGTTTACATCAATAACAGCCAGAATTTGGATTGTTGGTTCTTAACTAACCATTTATATTGTTTTGGGTAGGAAAAGATGTTGGAGCTTGTCGAAAGTACTCGAGATAGTGAGAGTCCTATATCCGAAGACGATACTTTCCATAATATCTTGGGCTACAAATCAGGGTACTGCAATGGACTTGGACATGGTCAATCCTCCCCGAAGAAAAGAACTTGCCAGGAGCAAAATTTTGCTGAACTAATGAGGGAAAAAAACATATTGCAAGAGCGGTGTGCAAATCTGGAGGAGAAAGTGATTGAGATGAATGAAAGGCAAGTTTTGGCTGATCAGAAACAAGCACTGACTGATGAGAAATTAGATACGACTCAACAACAACTAGCAAGGCTTGATAAGTTGGTTGAGTACCTTAAGGAGGGCAACATCCTACCCGGCATTAACATCTGGTAAGAATATGTTTTGCACTTTGGTTTGCTGAATCTTGGTGATTGAGATTGTTATGATATTATGAGTTGTGTGCTTTTAGTTTCCTTAAAGGCACCTGTATGTTTGATCAATATGACCATACATGCTGTAGGGATTTGTCCCATGAGTGTAGTTGCATTTGAATGTACATATATTGATTTGCAGCAGCATGTAGGATGGCAGTGTATTGTTTGATCAATCCGACCAAACATGTTGTTGAGATTTGTTGAATGATTGTAGTTACATTTGATTAATCATTTGGACCTTTCTTTGTGTCTATATTAATGGGTAGTATTATGAAGTTGTTTGATCATGTGAACATCCCAGAATCAACTAATGTAAAACAGGAACAACATCATTTATTAGCCAAAAGGTACAGCCAAAACATACTATTACGATGGAAACATTCGTCGCTAAAACCACTCAACCCGTTGCAAAAAGCGTAATGATAGGCTCCTCATATGGTGTAGGACATGATCAGCGACGGAGACTTTCGTCGCATAAAAGAATCATTAGCGACGAAAATTAAATCGTCGCAGTAGGAGAGAGATAATGCGACGATAGCCACCGTCGCCAAAGCTTCCAACGGCGACGAAAAAACTCATTGCAGTACATGTTAAATAGGGCGACGCATATATTCGTCGCGGAAACTATTTTTTGCGACGAATTATTCCGTCGCTAATTATTAACCTTTTTGCGACGGAAAATATTTTAGGCGACGAATGGTCAAAATCCGTCGCTAAAAAGTAAGGCGACGCGGTATGCACGACGATCTTGGCTAAGTTTTGGCGACGTGGTATGCACGACGATCGTGCCTTTAGGCGACGAATTTTGTTACTTTTTGCGACGAATTTTGCCGTCGCCAAATCCCCTGTTTTTTGTAGTGGAACCTTGCCTTCCGGGAATCGTGCAACCTCTATTCCCAAGAAATAACGCAAATCACCTAGATCTTTGATGTTAAAACGCGCATGAAGAAAAGCCTTGACATGGAAGATGAATTCTAAGCTATTACCAGCAAGAATAACATCGTCCACACAGATAATAGCAACCAACCGAGTACTCCCCTGGCGAAAGATAAACATAGAATGATCTACATGTGATGGCCGAAAGTGTAACTCACAAAGAGCAACTGTAAACTTGTGATACCTGTTTCGAGAAGCTGCGCGAAAACCATAAATGGACTTGTGAAGAAGAAAAATCCGAGTATCCCCAAGTCCAGCAAATCCCTCTGGTATGCGCATATATAGTTCCTCATAGGAATCGTCATGGGGAAAAGCGTTGTTGACGTCCAATTGATGAATAAATAAACCCTTGTTGACAGCAACCTCAAGGAGACAACGAACCGTAACAAGCTTAGCAACTAGAGTAAAGGTGTCATGATAATCCGCACCTTCTATTATATTTGCGGGTAGCCCATGGCTACAAGACGAGCTTTATAAGGCTCAACAGTACCATCCGGTAAGAATTTGACATTGTATACCCACTGACACGCCAAACTAAACGATGGGCTACGTATAAATCTCAACACATACGTAGTCCGTAACAATAGACAAATCAAGTACTCAAGAAATCCTTCTGCAAAACCCACAACAAAGGTATTCTTAGTTACCCCAACAGTATCTTGACTCCATACTTCATATTCAAGAGAGAGCATGATGCACTCCTACAATTATGGTTTAATCTCTTCTTTTTTTTTTTGTAGAATTATTATTATTATTTTTTTTTTGTAGAATGTTTAATTCTCTTCACTAATGCTTTCCCTCACTTTTATAAAACAGACTGGTTTACTTGGCTTTTATGGGGCAAGGGTGGATGCAATCAACCACTACTCATCAGCGATTGAGAGAATATCAGGAGAGGTAAGACAACTGTCCTATTGTTGTTTAGGTCACATATCTGGAATCACTTCATGAACGATCCATAACCCTCCTGGTTTCAACAATAATGCTACTAACTTTCTCTAACCTTTTCTTTAGCTGCTAACTAGCTGCTATCCCAATTTTGTCTCTCTCAACGGTGGCCGGCCGTGTAATGAACTCCTCCCAACTCACCAACAGCTGTGATCGATGAAGGAAGAGAGATTGTTAGAGGAAGACAGGCGAAGGAAGCTATAAACAAAGAAGATATGGAGTTCTTGTTTTCTGAGTTGCGACCTAGAAAGTCTGATGGAGGAAGAGAGATGAAGACCCTTGATATTCTGTAGGTTTTGATTTTTAATTCCCATTACTAACCTAACTAGCAGTTCACGAGGGTAAGAGATGGGAAACGACAGCGTTGAGTGGAATTGGGGGAATGCATAGCTGGAATTTAGCGGGCATAGAAGACCGCTTAGTCCCTAAACGCCCCGCTTAAGCGCTACTAATTAGAATAAAGCGCGCCTAGCGCTTTTCCCAGAGCTTATGGCCAAATCAATGTGTTCTTCCACCGCTCACGTCTAGGCACGCTTTCTGAAACCCTGACAATAACGAACACAGACAATGATATACGTGATATCCCCGATTGACGGAAATAGTCCATGGGAGAGCTCAATTCTCCGGTTGATATCTTATTATCAATTCGTTAGTTATGGCCGAAGGCCTTAGACTTGCTTTTACCTTACAACAATTCTCATCTAGGGCAAAACAACAAGGGCATGTAAACAAGACACAAGCATGCGCAGTTGTGGCAGCAGGTGGGCCATGAGTGGGCTGAGCCGGGGTGACCTGATGTGCCGGGTCCAATAAGATCAGTTTAATAAATTGGATACAAGATTGTTATCTTTAGAGTTAAATGAATCTCGTAACATAGAGAGATTAACTTGGTCTTTGATTTAATTGAGCTCGCATATATAGTAGAATAAACCCAATATCCAACCGAATGACTATCTTGTCGATGCTCTTGTCTAACATCATCCAACAAGTATCACAATCCATAAATATAATACTACGAGATTTTCGAACATAAATTGTATAGCCAGGGTAGGGATGATATTACAAATGCATAAAATTTATAAAGTACAAGATGTTTGAGTTTGAAGAGTCTTTTTGTGTGCGATGTTTCAGGGTACATATATAACATGAATCAAAGGCACAATAAACATTAATTCTTGTAGCCATATCAAACTTGTGGTTCGATCATGATTATGTCGTTCTAATAGGCAATAGTGAACTGCTTGATGCTGCAAATCAAAATTGAAGAATGAAGTCAAAATGATATGTGGTGCAAAAAATGGCATAATGACGAAGATATTCCAAATCGATATTAACAGGTGATTCCACTTACTTGTCACATTTGAGGTTCTTAGAGAGGGGAAAGGGAACAGTAACATTGCATAGCCCAGGAATTTTCTTCAAATCCTCGTCTTTGATGGTAGGGAACTTCTGAAAAGCAGTAGCCAAGCACTTGCAGGCGGCGGTCTTGTCGTCGACCGTGGTTGCGCTATCGGCGAGGTTGTGTAGGCCGTTGCAGCAGGTCTGTGGAACTTTGTCCTGACCTCCTTGAGCGAACTGCAGGCATGGCATGGCATCGATTTCCACCGTGCTACATTGGACAGCCTTTGGCGTAGGCTGTCTGCTCTCTGCAACACAAATGAAGAGGACGGCGGAGATTCCAAATATGATGACAATGTTTGAGATGATCGCCTTCTTCATCATCATCATGTTATTGTTTTGATGTTAATTTGCTAGCAATATATATGTATGGGTTTTGAGGAAGAGAAGTTGTTTTTGTGAGTTTGATGGAGAATGAAAGAAGGGGATGGGGCTTATATATCCTACAAGTTTTGTCTTCCGTATATATCAACACATTTTAAGTAAAGAGCATTGCGTTAAGGTTCAGGATTACGTAAATGAGAACAAAAAATAGTTCCAATGCGGAAGAGTTTGACAGATTAGTCCACGTGATAATAATGTGAAATGTGGGCATCGTGTCCATGGACTATCAATCTAACTCTTCTATGTATAAAAAAATTACCATAAAAATTTAGTGGCCTTTGTATTAAGGTTGGTAATTAGGGCAGAAGTTAGGGTCCTAATACTTTTTTGATAGTATAATAGTAATACTAATTAAAACTTATAGAAATATTTCGTTTTGATAACTTTTTTATTCAAATGGGTTGAGCACAATTATAAAGAGTGGGACATGTGCAAATGCGGCACGACAGGCCGACAGGGCGACAGTGTCCATGATCGGCCAGGGGGTTCTTCGGAGAACCCTTTCCAAGTCTTCCTTATGGTCAAAGAGGAACTGGGGCGACCTCCCCCAGCTTCCATGATAGCCACGTTTTTGGAATTGGAAAGAGGAACTGGGGCGACCTCCCCCAGCTTCCATGATAGCCACGTTTTTCGAGCAATTCCACGCTCCCTGAACGATACGAAGGATGATGAAGAGGCTTGGACGGTTTTCCATTTCAGTTTAACATATCGTTTGGTACCAATGAATCTAGAATTCATTTCATTTTAAAATGAATTACCGTATAGAATTCATTGTCAAATGAATTCTTGTGTTTGGTATGTCATATTCAAATCTTAAGAAATAAAATTATTTGAATTGTCAAACAATGTTTGGCGTACGTTTGTAATTGAATTGAATTAAAAGTTTCCAACTAAGCCCATATTAATTTTCGCTTGAAACAATATTCATTTAAAATCCATCTTCGAAAAATGATTTTGATCCCATACGTAAAATATCAAAGTGTTCTTGTGTGTTTCTATTCTATTCATTAGTTCTTTCGATATTTTGTCAATGAACCCTACACTCTAGTTGTGACTTCTCAACATTTCGATATAATCAAATAACCAGAATATGCTACTAGCACTGCAATCAAATTCTTGTCGACGTTCCTCATACTGCATGAACTGGCGTCAAATAATACATGTAGAATTAGTTTAGTTAATAAATGTGGATAATTATGTAATTTTGTTATAATTAGTAAATACTTGTGGAATTCATTTGGAAATTCCATCTCAATTTCTCGAATTGCTATAACTAGCTCCAATTCGGTAGAA